GAAGCAAGTCTTTTATTGAATTTTTATTGGTCTTCTATAGCAATCTCCAAGCAGAATTTTTGCTATGATTTCATCAAAATCTTATGACTCAATGAAAATGTCATATACTGAGCAACATTTCCAGTATTTTGTAGGCTTCTGTCATTACCCTTTTCACCTTCCCCCTGCCCCCCGAAAATAAAAGATCTACCAAAAGGATAGATGTTTGTCTGCACCACAGAGGTTTGTTAAATTCAGGGTTATTTTGGATAGGAATCCTTATTAATTTTAATAGTTGTTTGGAAAGTTACAGTTGTGCTCATAGGTGAGTATTTGTGAAAAGCATAAACTCAGATTATCTGCAGTTACCTCTGTTATAACCGAGAAGCAATGGACTGTGTGGGAAGCCAAGGAAATGCAAAAGAATGTCGTGAGTGAAGGAGGAACATCTAGAAGGTTTCTTACCGTTCCTAGTGGTAAACAGTGCATCAGACACAAAGACCAAAGAAGATTATACTTGAAAAGGAAATATGGTATCACTTAGCTGTGAGGTAGTCTTCAATTTTTGTCCCTCAGGTTGGTTATGTGGAGGCAAAGATACAGTGTATAGCGGAACAGGGGAATACAGAAGTTAAGTAGCACTTCTGGTTCTGTGATAACATCCCAGTGGGTTAAAATAGCAGAACAGACCCTACACAGGTCAGAAATTAATGTTCCTTTGTTCTCATTTAACTTGGTGCTCATTGCTCATTCTGAAATTTAGTACTATGTCCAAGTAATGAAAAGTATCCTGTAACCACTCTTATAAAACATTATGTAAACTGTTTAAATGTATGTGCTGCCTCAAGGTCTCAGCCTCAGCAAATGCAAATGGATGACATGAACAGTAACATTTACCTGGCATTTACAGCACTGGCCAGGTCTTCATGGTGCAGGTGGGCTTGTTGCATGATTGTGGAAGGGCCTGTCTTAGTAACACTGCACAGAACTGAAGCAGATATTGTGTGGGCCAAATTTCTTCGTCAGTTCTTCGACTGAGTAGATAGACCTCTGCTTAATTACTTTCTTTTTCCTCTGCTCTTCCTTCGAACACAGCTACACTCACCCTATTGCTAGTACACCCCCAACTCATACATTTTAGTTTAGTTTCGTTTCATTTATATTTTATTTAATTTTATAGCTATTTATTTCATTTTAGTATTTTATTTCATTTTATTTTATTTCATTTTATTTCTTCCTAGAAATAAGAAACAAAATTGTATAACTTGCAAGAAGGACATGGTTGATCCACAGATAAACTGATATTTCTCTCACACTTGTGTCAACAAATTAAATTGACCCATTCCACAGCTGCTATTCACTTTGATGGCTTAAACAATTACCCCTTGCCATGTACCGTATGCTCACACTGCTCACAGCAAACAGATTGCAAATTTTACAAAGGAAACAAGATCAGGACACTCTTGTTAACATAGCAGCAACTCAGCATCACCAGAGTCCTGGCATACCCATTCAAACTGACTTATGATACAGTTTTGTTTTGGTGGATTTTGATCAGGTTAGACAGTGCTCTGAGCATACTTATTTTAAGCAATTTGTAGGCAAAGTTTTTGAGGCGCTTTGATGGTGAAATCTTCACAAATGCCAGAGGAAGTATAAGGGAAGCAATTAAGGTGTTTCAATATTTCAGAAGTAGATAATCTTGGAATCAACTAGGGTGGAAAAGACCTTTAAGATAATGAAAAAGGTTAATCAAACGTAGAAACAAATAGCATATTTCAACACAAATCACAGCAATTTTCTTGGACAACAACCTTAGACAGATAACGAGGTAACAGTTTTTCACCTTTATTGCCACATCAACAAGAAGGAAAAGACAATTCTTGGCCTTTGTAAAGTTGGAGTTTAGTGATCTCCTCTTGAAATGGCTATGGTAAATGTCATCAGTGTTCTCACTTGCTCCCTTGGATTTCTGGATGCCCCATATGCTTATGTAACTGCTTTAAGCAAGTTTGCATAAGTTTTAGATTTCTGCTCTTGAGTTATGGTCTTCAAACTTGTCAGCTCAGGGCTCTTTTCCTTTCCCAAATCTCTCTTCTTCCTTTCTTCTTAATTTGTTCCCTTGTAAGTTTTGTTTTCTTTCATACTATGTAAAATACGTTTTTTCCAAGACAACAGAAAAGGGTTAAAATGTACCAGTCATTCGTGGAATTCATGCCTTTACTGATTGGGATTCAAATCACACTTCAGTGCTGGAGAAGTAATTTTAGAAAAGGAGTAATTTCACAGATGATTATTCCCCAAGCTTTGACCATGTGCTTCAAAACCAGAATAACCATGTTCCATTTTCCAGCTTCCCAAAGCATGCTAAATGTCATTCTCTACCTGCATTCTCTACCTGTCATTCTCTACCATTATCCACAGCATCCTGCACTTCCTGAAATATGGCTACTTCACACAAGTTACTAAATGAATGACAGTAATTCCTAGCTGCGAAAAATTAATTACTAGAGACCACCCTAAAAACAATATTCATACTTTCCAATAAATATCAAAGTATTAGTTCTTATGAGTCATTTATAGTTGAACAAAGAAAACAAATCTAAGAGCTCAGTCAGAACTGGTACCCTGTCCAGCATTGTTATTGAGACTATCGTGCATTCCTAAAATGTAGATTGATTGTCGGTAGAGAGTATATTTTCTGTCACTGGATCTTTTGTTACTTTACTAAGGTGTAAGTAAAACTTCGTAAGTGTCTGCATTTTGCAGATGGATTAACTGAGCAATAAGGGACATAATAAATATGCCTGAGGTCAGGCATTGAATCAGTGGCAGAAGCGAGAATTAAATCCACATTTTCTAGTGTTTCTAGAATATAGGCAACAGAGAATAGGGCAAGACAAAGGATCAAAAAACAGTGAGATAAACAATGCCTTTCCCAAACTACACAAGATAAGCTTGTGACTCAAAACATCTCAAAATAATGTTAAAATGGGTAGCAAACTGCAGAACATTGCAATGGCAAGATGAGAGCATGCCCTTCCTACAGAATCTGAGCATGTCAAAGCCACCAGAGAAAGTGATAATAGTTGTAAATGACACCAAAACTAAGTCAAGAAGCAGTCAAATTCTACAGCTGACTTCCTCCAAGTAAGATTCAGTTTGTGACTGGATGGAATCAAATGAAAAATGATGAATTGAATGAAAAAACTTTATTTTTTTGTTGATTAAGCAGTTGCCAATAATTATTCCTTCAGAATGTATCAATTATAGGTAAAAGAAGCCACTCTTCTTGATTAATTTTGCCTCCAGTAAAAGCGTGTCATGTTACTAAAAAACAAATCAGGGTCACTATGCACTTACTCCTGTAATAGTCCCTGGCAGTTTTGAGGAGGAATAAGCTCAGAGTAAAAGTTCTGTCTAAGTGTCTGAACTGCTTAGTAACAGATCTTTAACAAGAAACACATCTATATATAAGAAGTTAAATTAGACAACTTGTATAAACACTTCAGTAGTGTAACTGTTTTATATATACAGGAGAAATCTTAAAGACATTCATTAAGAGTCACAACTATTCTGTGCAAATCTTCACTGAGTTTCATTAGCCATTTTGATCCAGGCCTCCAGAAGAAGCCCTATTTCTTGTTCTAAATATTTGTTCTCTGGATCTTAAGCCGCCAAGGAGCAAAATTTCTCTTTTCTTAGCTTTTGGGGTGGGGGGGTTAAACAAATTCACTGTCATGGTGAATTTATGAGCAGCTGGTTTCTGTGACCTTTTATTGGCTGAAAAAAAATCATCTGCCCTTTTTACAGACAAGCTGGCACTCATTTACTTCTTAGAAGCTAAGCTCTAAAGAGGCACAATTTTCTTTTTAGCCCAATGTAGCTTTTTATTATTAAATGACCATTGCATCAATTGCTCATTAAGAATGTGAAGTTAATCAACAACAGAACACCTTCTGGGTTTCCTACTTTTTTAATTCTTGAAAGTATGTGATTTTGCTATAATATGCATAAAAATCATGCCTCTAATGTATTTTACAAATGCCTTAGTAAGTCGTGGCTTCAAGCATATTTGTGAAGAGAAATTGTTTTCATTGTGGTAGCTGGATTTATTTTGTCTTCACCAATATAAGTAACTGTGTTTGTGATCATATGTGATTCACAGCACAAATGGTAATTCACCACCAAAAGATACGATGCTATGTCATGGCTTTGCTGTGAAAGTTTGTAAAGGTTTTGGTGGTCTTTGAGTTAAGTATAAAAGTGCAAGTGTAAAAATTACCTCCCTCTTTGTATTTTTCGCATTTAATTTTCGCTAATTTTTCCTGTTTCTGGTAGCTTCCTGGACCCCCTGGTTCCAGCAAGTAAATTAAATATTTATTGCTCACTGCCTTCTTTGTGTCTTGAACAGCAGAACACTGTTAATTCGATGCTGTTGAAAAGCATCAGCTCATCATCACCTAGTAAAGACTAAGATCTGGTAAAAGGGTGATATTATTCTCAAATGTGTAAGAGAATTTTATAATATATAAAGGAATTTTGTGCTTCATCTCGGGCCACAATTTTGCTTTAAGATACTGTATTTACTGAAATGCTCTGCCTGGTGTAGCATTGGATGCCATTGTGCCTTCAAGGGCACACTGGTGGCTTGTGGTTCAAATTCTTGTCTATTGGGACGACCCCAGCCAAAAGAAAAAGTGGACAGTTGACCTTCTAAAAGTAGAATAAACACAGTGAGACTAAAATGGTGTATCCTTGCTGATTAAAAACTTTTTTAAATTGTAACAGACTTATTACATCACAGATATCATTTTGAAAACAATATCAAACAGGTCTTTTATGTATAATCCTGAATGTACAAAATCTTTGTGTGAAAGGTTTTTATGAAATTCAGATAATCGTTAAGCAGTAATGAACACTTAAGATACCAGGCTTAACTAATGATGTTCAAATTATTAGTTCACAAATAATTTATTTTCTCTTGCTATTACAGAATTAAGTCCTAAAGTCATTGAAGAATGAGTGAATTTCAGCATTCCTGTCAGAATGGTACACCAGGCTTGTTTAACAGATCTTGGAGTGGATGGCACCATTGCCAGGTGATAGGTGCTGTAGAGGCAATTATCCTTCCCTCTCTGTTTGGGATTATCTGTTCAACAGACTTAGTTGGAAACATCCTCATTGTGTGCACAATAATAAGGTATGGAATCAAATACATTTTTTAATAAGATTTACTGCTAAAAAAATAAATTGTGACTGCATGAATGAAGTAATTGCCCAGCACAGACAAGGGCAGCAAGTCTTTCATGCTCTGTTTAGTCATTAACATTTACTTCTCATTAAAACAAATTAAATCATGACTATAGATAGCAGTAATTTATGTCTTCTTAGCCTTTTCCTCTATGAGATAGCACTTCAGTGCATGAGTGACTTCAAAAACATTCAAGGAAACCAAAATACGTGCCTTCTTTCATAGTTCCTGTTATAACTGGCAGCAATCTTCTCATTAGCACATGTAAAAGCTAGACTAACCTTTCAACTTTAGTTATGATACTAGCCTGGCATTATAATGTTTTACAGAATTCTTTCAAGATCAGTTGAAATGCAGTCTTTTTCTCCTTTGAAAACTGCTCCTGTACCTCACTATTTTGGTAATAGAGCTCTATCTATTTTCTGCTCATTTACAGCAGCTTCCTAGAACTCATAGCTTTTTTCCATCACCTTACTTCTGGAAACATGGCCTTAGTGCTCGTCCAGGATTCTTACGTGGCAGGAATTAATATCTCAAAATATTTTCGATGTATACTGATAAGGTAAAATTACTGAAGTTGCTGAAGTTTTTTGTGCCATAAGATCTGACACAACATTGTTTATGCAGGAAAATACCTTCTAGTCTCTTAATTTTAACAAGAGATTTATTTTATATATATTTATAAAATAAAGAATGGCTGATGTTGCCACAAACTTTAAATCCATAAGCATGTATCTTGAAAAGGTGTCTTTTATCTGAGATGCAAATTTAACATAAATTGTGACAGCATAAGGCTAATATGCATGACACTTTACAAAGATTAATAGGTGGACTCCAGCCCTACATACTGTGCTTTTAAAGGAAAGATTTCCAAAGGCTAACCTAGTACTAAGTGTTTGTCAGCCCCTGAGCTTTAGTAAACTTCCCTTGAAACTACCAGAAATCTAGTGCGTGGTACACTCAAGAACACTGTAGCTCATATTCTGAATGCAGAGAGAACAAATGTGGAAACAGTATGTCTGAAGTGAACATAATGGCTATATGACTTTTTAAATGTATGAATGAATGGAAAGGAAAAAAGAAATCCTTGAGTTTCTAAAAATTAGTTATAATGTCTTGAAAATAATAGAATGGAAGGAAACTGAGAAGGAGCAAAGATTTTTTTTCCCTGGTGAAAAGCCTTTGTCTAACTTAAATAAACATGTGAGAGACAGTGGGAATAGACAGAAACAATGACTTGGGAAAAAAAAATTATTTAAACTGTGTTTGCTTGAGAAAATTATAAGCATTGAAATTTATGGGCATGAATGTTTGTACACAGGAAAAGAATTTAAATAGTGTATTAAAAAGTTAGTGTGGTAGTTACCAACACTAAAAGACAGCCACAAGCCTCAGACTCTGTAGATAAATATACATTTAAAATGTAGCTATATTTTGAAAAATAACTGTGTCAGATTCTCATCTTCCACTAGATAGACTGAATTCTGCTCAATGGCTCTGGTTCAGAGCGGTGTCTTCTCCATTATTGATCACATTTTCTCATTTCATTAAAATTAATACATTTTAATTTTGTTTGCATTACAGAGTTAATTCTTTTAAGACAGAAATAAACTAGATTATCTTTCTAAGTAGAAAGTTATTTACTTTCCAGTAGTAAATCCTTTACTCAGGGTAGAAGATGATAAAGAACAAACCTTGGAATTTCAGTTCCTCAGATTTGTTTGCAAGTCTGCCAGTTAGGCACAAACATTTTAAAGTTTGAATTAAACTGATACAATCTGCAGCTTGCTCAGAGAAAATAACTAAAAGTCCTAATGAACTTACATGTAATATATGCCTATGCAGTGAGATTTAATATAAAAATTACTAACTCAATGACTTTTGGCTGGCCCTCCTTGTGTGAGTGAATTTCATTTCTAGGGAGTAATAGGAGTTGAGATACAGTGCTGTTTAATTAATATGAAAAGGATGAAGAAAATGCTGCAAGAGTTCAGTGTCAGCCATAAGTAACCAATAATCTTCATCCCAGCAACCTAGAAAAACTGGTCCTTAAAATCACAATTCTGTTAGCAAGTACTTCCATGTAAGCCTACTGACTTTGCTGGGCCAGCTGCTGGGAGAGAGGCTGCTTTTGTGTGGAGGGGGAAAATGCAATAGAGACAACCCCAATTAGCTCCATTAGCCTGACTTCACATTTTCAAGAAATTGCATGTTACAGAAAAGAGCATCAAATTAATTTCAATTATCTATAAGTATGTCTTTTCAGATCAAACTGATTCTTATTAAGGTAACTAATAGCAAGTGGTAAAATAGCATGTCCTAAAACAGAGATTGCAAATAAGTGTGGCAACACTTATTACTTGCATTCTGACTCCTCAGCTGGTAAGGGTGTATTTACAACTGAGTATAGAGTCAGCAGCAGAAAATTTTTGAAACCACTATAACAGCTACTCTATCCAGATCAGAGATTTTATGTTATCAGGTTTTGTATGCTATCCCATTGGGATTCATTAAGTCAGCAAAAGAACAATCTAGTGAGTTCAAGAATTACAACATGAGAAAAAAATTGCTAAAGTGTGGATCGTACTAGGTGATGTTGATGACAAACAAGTTTCCTGAAAAGATTTTCAGAAGTAAATAGGTTAACATGGAACTTTCAAGGACTGGTTGTGGGGCCAGCCAGATTTCATATTTTCCTTCAAAGACTTGGGGTAAAGTGTAGGAATGTGTCAGTAGTATTCCTAATAACATACACTGGCGAGATGTGGCTGATGTGGAGAAGTATAAGACTGTCATACAGAAAGAAACAGATAAAGAATAGAGGACGGACTAGAGCAATAGAAATGCAGTAACATTTAATAGCACAAAGACATGGAATATTTTTTTTTAGTAGTATTTTTTATAAATAGGAAGCACTGCTGTCAGTTAGAAAACAACAAAGGAAAAGCTCCTGGGATTGCTGTGGGCTGTCAAAGGCTAAAGCTGTGTGAGAAGCACACACAGCTGTAATACATGTAAGGCTCTCCTCTTCCAGGGGAAAGAGGAAAATGTTAACACCATTCTCCAGGCCTGAAAATACATACTCAGACCATCCTGAAGGGCCTGAAACACAACTCTCACCAGCTGTTTCCAGGAAAGATGAGATATTCAGTCTCAAATAAGAACAGAAAAGAACAATTACTAGAACCAGAAGAACAGAGAACTATGAAAATTCACCTAAATTTGCTAAAATAAGAAAAAAAACAGACACAGAAGTGTGTGTTTGCTCTCTGTAAATCAGGATCAAATACAGCAGAAAGGGTAAAGAGCTGTTTAAACTAAAGGCCAAAACTGGTACAAGAGCAACTGGGTAGACTGCAGTGAGTAGGTATTAAAGGTTGTTAACTGGAAGGTGATTTATACACTTCCAGAATGGTGATGTCCTGTGGTAACCTTCAGTAGGAGTAATGGAAGTAAAATCATCATTTCTGAACTGCAATTACCCTCTTATGAGGAGGCCTTTTCTGATCTTGTTGCCTGTGACAGCCGACAACTCAGTTCTGCGACAAGGGTTATCTCTTCCAATCTTGGGTGCCTGCTTTTCCTAAATCTAGCAAAAAAAACAAAAACCCAGCATGTTAAAAAACATACTTAGTGCCCTACAACATATCTCAACTCCTCTGTTCTTTATTCATCACTCAGATGGGGAGCTAAGTGTCTCTGCACTGAGACAGCATCCTGTCAGTTTACTCTGATTTCTATGATTCTGTTTTAGATCTGTTTCAGAAATAAAACAAAAACAAGATGATGTTAGAGGTGTGGGACTTCCCATGATGACAGTTGGCACAGCAACGCATATGTCTCTAAGTGATGTTATCTGGCTTGACTGTGAGATTCAGTTAAAGAGTAATATATTTTTGGACCAGAATATCTTGGACAAACTTCTGTAGCATTGTTAATGTAAAGCTAAACATTAGATAATGTTGCTATACAACAACAAATTAGATAGTTGAATTACTTGGAAGCATTCATTTCTAGATACATTTAAATGAGGAAAGGCACAGAGACAGAGGTGTAGAACAGAAATGGCTGCCATTTCTTTGTGCAGTTTTTCATAACAGGTACTGAGCAAGATCCAGTCTCGCAAGATTTTATAAGCCTTATCCAATTGTACAGATGTGAGCAGAATTTTTCCAGCCTAACTTTGATTCCTCAACCCAGTCATCAGGGTGTCTCCATAGAAAGACACTACTGAGTGTAGTACATATCATCTTTGCCATGATAAACTTCCCCCAGAGTTCTATTTCTCTGCAGTGATTGTAGAAGCCAAGAACACTTGGAGGCATCAGAGGTCTAAATTTCAAATGGACAAAATTAGCTTAAAAGAATCCCACTGTCAGTTAAAAGGAGAAAAGATAGCACAACTCTTTCCTCATAAATATTGAGATGTTTTTTCAGCTACTACAAGAAAATAACATGCACAGAAAAGATCCAAGAGAAAGCACAGTACATGCTTACCAGCACAAAAGGACTACAAAGTAGTGTCAAGTAGGTATAGGACTGCTGTTGTTGGGCATGGTCTTGTTAGGAACCGAGAATCTAGGTAAACTCGAAGTGGGAGCAGAAGGGAAGTGGACTATAATTAATGCCAGAGATAGAAATTTTAAAAAGCTCCCTCCAAGCCAAGCTGGTTTGCTGCATATGGTTAGATTTTGTAGGGGAGGAGAGGCCTAGGTGGAAGGATGACTTTAAAGCTGGTTCTACTTGCCATTGCAGACATAGCCCAAAAGGAATGCCATTTTATCCTTTTCTATTTGAAGAAAAGGTATGTGCTTGTGTTTTTAAAGGTATGATGCCTATAAATACTTTTGTCTTTGACCAACACATCCAAATTAACACTTAAGCTTTTAGTTAATGAAGACTTTCTGTCCAGGAGGGTATAAGTAAGTTCTCATGATAGCACATATGCCGTCAGCGGGCATAAATAATGACTGATGACAACACGTTATGCACTTGTCAAGTTCCTTGACGTTGTTGCTGGAATGACAGCCAGTATATAGATTATTATGTTGTCATGTCTGCTCAACACTTCTTCTTTTAATGAATTTGGATAATTCAAATCCCAATCCATTAAAGTATTCTGCTCTTGTAATGCAGTAGATAAACCATGGAAATATCTGATGAGGTTCAGAGCAAACAAGTGAGCTCTTCTAATTCTATGTGTGGGGGATATGTTTTGGGGTAAGTTTTGGATTTGTGGATATTTTCATTATTGCTGAGCAGTGCTACAGAGAGTCAAGGCCTCCTCATACCACCATGCCAGTGAGTAGGCTGGGGGTGCACAAGGAGTTCTGAGGGGACACAGCTGGGACAGCTGACCCCAACTGACCAAAGGGGTATCCCAGACAATATGGTGTCATGCTCAGCATATAAAGCTGGGGAAAGGTTGGCAAGGGGGCCACTGCTCAGGGACTGGCTGTGCATTGGTTGGTTCGTGGTGAGTAGTAGTTTTCATTTGCACCACTTGGTTTTCTTGAGTTTTATTTCTCTCTCTTGTTATTTTCCTATTCATTAAGAGTTAGTAGTAGTAATGGTATTTTATGTTATTTCAATGAACTGTTCATATCTCAACCCACGAGTTTTCTCACTTTCACCCTTCCAATTCTCTTCCCCATCCTGCGGGGCAGAGAGAGGAGTGAGCAAACAGCTGTCTGGTGCTTAGTTGTCTGTTGGGATTATACCCCAACAAGCACAAAGTGTGCAAGTTTAGAATCTGAGATTCTCATTCTGAGTCCAGAAGTAGTTTCCAATAAAGTATGATTTATCCTATATATGTGAATAAAATAAAGCAGAAAAGGACCAATTTAACTTTTTTGTAAAACTACATGTACAGGTAGTTTTCAGATGCTTTGAAACCTGTGTGTTTAATCATAATGGTGCCATTTGACACTTTGCAGAAAACACAGTTTGGAGCTTTTCTTTTCCTGGAGATTTTGCATCCTTCAATGCTCACAAAGCTAAAGGCACTGGAGAAAAAAGATCACACATGTGTCATTTTCTCCACAAAGTCTAGTCATTAGTGCCAGCAGATATACTTTATGGATGTCTGGTTTTAGTTTCTGTATCATAACCAGATGACAGTGAATCATACTTTGTAATTTATTAAAAATGCTTGAAAAAAAAATACGTTTATCTGGCTCATTCCCTCTAGCTTAAATCTGTTTCTTTGGAAACGTAGTTATTTCATATCTCGAAGCATGCAATGAAGGCAACATGAAAAATATGACAGGCCCTTTTAGGAAATGATGGCCATAGAGTTGGATTTCTGGCTGTGGTCTGTGGGTGGCCAGGTGGAGTTCTCCCAGCTGCAGGTTCTTCTGTGCCTCCCCCTAAGAATGACAAATAAACTGGTACTTTGTAGTAGGCTGAAAAAAAAATCTGATTAGAGATACTGAGAGGGAGCATAGACAAATAGCTTAGACTAGACATCTAATCTGTAAGTGAGCTTAGACAGGGTGATTCCTATATGGAGATTGTGGATAAGGACCTTTTTAATAAAAAATCCTGCCATTAAAAAAATATTTTACAAATATCAGTGATTTTCAAAGATGTTTTGTGCTCCTTAATTTGTATAGAAGGCAATTTAAAGTCAGGAATTATTTCATCTGCATACATAGCATTTGTCCAAGCCTAAATCAGGGGATGTATTCTATGATTCTATGTACTAAGGATTACATTTTGGTAAAGGAATCTAGAAAAGCACATATATCACAAAAAAGCTATGCAATATAGACATTATGAAACTAGCAAAGCCAAACTCTAGTACTTAGATGAAAACTCTGCATGCAGTTTTAGCTCAGTTGCATTCCCTGTGTATGTATAAACTTCACAAGACTATCTTCGAATATTTGATTTCATGCTTATTCTTTTCCCAGTGGATCATTCATCTTTCAGCAGTTCCGTTTTTACCTTAAGCATTCAAGAATCCCCTGTATGCATCTTTAAGCAGATTCAGCCTTGGGTCAGCTGCCTTGCAAGAAGGCTCTGATCTCTCTTCCTGTTTATACTAGGCTTATATTTCTAGAGTTCCTATGTCCCTCAGACCTGTCTTTATTTTGAACACTTTATGGTTTTCAAAGCACAATATGGATAATTGTGCAGTTGTTAATAAAATAAATAGCCATTTGACCTCACTGGAAAGCAAAATTATGAATGATATCTTTTTCTTGAGCCTGAAGTATTTAATTTGAAATATCTTTGGGTTGACAAACTATACCAGATATCTACATCTGCAATCTAGCTATAGCAGATTCAGTTCATATCATTGACATGCCCTTTCTCATTCACCAGTGGGCACATGGAGGCGAGTAGATTTTTGGCAGCCCTCTTCACACCATCATTACCTCCCCGGACACATGTAACCAGTTTACATGCAGTGCCATTATGACCACAATGAGTTTGGACAGGTATATGGTTTCACATTTTCATTCTGTACCCCAGGACAATAATATCTGATTGTGTTTATGCAAAGCTGTAGTAACTAAAAAGAATGAAAAATACCATCAGTCATGGTTAATGATTTTTTGAAAACTGGAAGAATCATTTTCTGATGTTGGAGAGGTGGCAGAAATCATGCTATGCACAAGCCCTTAAGGGATCCTAGTCACCACACAGTGTTACTACTCTAGGGCTTATCTTTGGAGGCACAACTTCTAGTAAAGGCTTAATGCCACTAAACTAAAATTTGTTTTAACCATTCACATTTAAGATAAAAAATTGGTTTCTAGGCAGACTGCAGAAACCTAGTGTATCTGTTATTTGTTAAAACTATTATTAAAATGCAGTAAGAGTATGACAAGAATTTTAGCTTTTATTGTTAACTATACACATTTTAAAAACAGCTTCTGTATGATCTTGATCCTAAGGAAAAGGTCATTGAATTCAGGAAAGAAAAGTCCACTTTGGATCAAAGAAGTCTTCTTTCATAAATCAGAAAGAGCATGAAGGAAAAAAGACAAACTATCCTGAGTAGCACAAGGCACTGGTCAGTCATTAAGAAGAATCTAGGTTAAATAGAGTCGATGGGAAGGACACTTGCTATTGAACTTGTAGCATATGAGACAGGACGCTTCCTTGGAAGTGGAATGTTGTCACTAAAAAGAGGGAGAGAAAAATTATCAGAAAGCAGAAAGTAGAAATTGAAAGTTATAAATAATTTTGAAACAGATTAAATATGGCTACATTAATGCATAATCTTAGAAGTCTTATTTGGTTGACATGCAATTAAAAAGAGAGTCAAGAAATTATCAGTTCCTTTGAAGTTCGATTTTTAAAACTCTCTTATAATATTAGCATATAAATACTGTGACAAATGCCAGTCTTTTCCTATATTCCTGAAGAATTTACACTTAGCAGTATCTGTAATCTTGCTGCTTAGAGAAAAACTTTTATGCAAAAGACAGTAAGTATTAAGGCAGAACATCAAAACCTAGTATAAAAAGTAGTTTCTGTCCCAACTAAAGCCATGTCTTAAAATGGACGTTGGTTTTTTTCCAAATTACTGAGAGTAAGCCTGTGCTTTCTTTTCTATTTTGAGCTAAGTTTTTCTATCTCAAATACACTTGCCTAGGGAAAGGTCTTCAAATTGTTTCTCTTCTAATACCAATACCTAATATCTACTAATACCAATTATGACAATATAGCCAAGAGAGACTGTCGTGGTTCAAACCCAGCCGGCAACTTGGAACCACGCAGCCGCTCGCTCACTCCCCCCCTTTTCCTTCCTCCCCCCGCTCCCGGAGGGATGGGGAGGAGAATCAAAGGAATGTAACTCCCACGGGTTGAGATAACAGCTCTCCAGTAACTAAGGTATAATACAAACCACTACTGCTACCAATAATAATGATAAGAGGAATAACAAGGGAAAAGGACACAACCGCTCACCACCCGCCGACCGATACCCAGCCTGACCCGAGCAGTGATCTGGGCCTTCCGGGTAACTCCCCCCAGTTTATATACTGGGCATGACGTGCTGTGGTATGGAATACCCCTTTGGCCAGTTTGGGTCAGGTGTCCTGCCTCTGCTTCCTCCTGGCTTCCCCTCCTCTCTGGCAAAGCATGAGACTGAGAAAGTCCTTGGTCAGAGTAAACATTACTGAGCAACAACTAAAAACATCGGTGTTATCAGCATTGTTCCCAGACTGAAAGTCAAAAACACAGCACTGCACCAGCTACTAAGAAGGAGAAAAAATGACTGCTGTAGCTGAACCCAGGACAGAGACAAAGATTTTTCAGGTGAGAGGCTCCCAGATTGTTTGTTGCTATGTTTTACCTGGGAAGGCACTTCCAAAAGAAGCTTAAGCCGAACAAAATAACTACCACATGCAAATTAATATCTGTCATATTGGTAGATAGTGGGTTTATTCCTACAAATCCTCTGCTTCATAATAAGAGTGAACTATGTTACACAATGTTCCAATAGAAAGTTTATTATTTCAGCACTTCTTTTTGCAAATCAGATTTCTTTATAAGATCTTAAGAAGTGGCAAAACCAGCTGTTCTCTCCATGGAGCTTTAGGGGTAAATTTATGAGGAGTACAATGTATAAAAGTTTACTTTCCATTACTCATTTTCATATGAAATAAAAAAAAAAAAAAAGAAAAGAAAAAAAGCTGTACTATGCAAGTTGAGTAAGTATATAAAAATTTCTGAGAAAGTTCCCTAAACTGTCATTAAACATATCTTTTTAATACAGATTCATGTTTATGCCACAGGCAGACATTACATAAATTATATTTGGATGAAAAATTGGAACAACTTTCACCTGTTGGTTAAAAGAAACTTTCATAAGAAGCAGCTCCCAGCACCTGTTCCCTGGGCAATTATGCACATGGGCACACATAGACAGTAATTTTAATCCCCCATGTACATGAAGAGTAAATCTGACTGTTCAAGAAAAATATTAGAATGCAAATCTAGCCCAAGCGAAATCAGAACTGTGTACAGTGCAGACAGCATCTCCTCAAGCCCAAATATTGATATACTTTTATGTTGTGTTGCAGTCTCTGGTGAGACAGGAGAGATAGTGAGATGGGACCCAGTATAATGTCCCACATAAATGTTGCTTCTTGGAACATTCCATAAGCCGCTTGACCTTAACTGAAGATGAACACTGCAATTAGCAATGTTAGTGACTTCTTTAAAATGTCGAAAGAACACTTTGGTCTATGACATTTTTAAAAGAAAGCCAAGAATTACATATTCAAAATAACTGATGACCATTGAGAAGTCACATCATCCCTTATTCCTTCATGGCACACAAGATGCAGCTGGTAAAGCCTAAGCTGGACTTTCTTTCTGTGACAAGATGCTGTGAAGCACATCTCATTCCTTTTAGCACGAGTTCCCTGGAGCATGTCACAGGAAAATGCCACTGTTTTGGTCCTTTCTTACCAAATGTATCTGCTGCTGACTACTTCTTCTACAAACTTTGATTATAAGAAAAGATGTGATCTTCTTGATAGGGGTCCAGTTGCCTGTGGTCCAAGGCGTACTTTTGGTATGGCACAGCTATATAATCATGTCTCAGTCTTCTGAGAAAGTTGTTAAATGTTAAGCTGTGCAAAAATACCTCCAGTAGATCCATGTGTGCTAAGAAAGTTAAGATAGATTGAAGCCAGAAAAAAGATTGTTGAGGCAGAGACAGCTAGCAGTTCAAAGTTTCAAGAAGAGAAACACTGGTACAAAGTATAAAATACCAACAAAAATCAGGGAGTCTGAAGATGACACTTCGCTCCCATTGACAGCTATACAGCAAAGACTCAAGGGTGCCATACAGGGATGATAAGAGTTCTAAGATTTAGCCTAGGATCTTGTTAGTCTGTTGCCTACTGTAATAGCCAATAAATAATTGCTTTTTGTGAATATCCTGTTTCCAAAGTGCCTCTGTGCATGGGAAAAGGACCCTGAGCAAGCTCCTGAAATCCAAGAGTTACATAGGGTACCAGTCAAATTTGAGGCTTGCATAAATATTTATTTAGCCTATCCCTTTAAGGCCTCAGCTACATAAGTGGAGAAGTGGAGCTGGGAAGATAAATCTGGAGTAAGTAGCTCTGTGACGGCTGAGAAGAAACAGGCAGGTGTTCCAAGTGTTTGCAGCAGCCGAGACTGACAGGCATGAGAAAATGTGTTCCTGGCTTGCCCATTGTTGTAATGTTGCTCTAAGAAATTAAAATTTACCAAGGCAGTATCACTGGTAGGGTGGGGCCATGTCTCTATGAAAGTCATGGGCTTTCAGTTATTTATAACCAGAACCACTGGATTTGCCATGGACTAATCCATTTACTCATTCTTCACACTCCTTTTTCTTTCACTCTTTGCTTCACTTCACATGCAATCACAAACACCTCAGCTTGAGGAAAACATAAAAGCCTTTTAAAAGCTCAGTCTCCTGAGCAGCCCGCTTGCCTTTGAATGTAGTACACTTTGCTGCCTCTTGGGGCAATCCTAACAAGGGTACATTTTAAGCCGATTCATAATTAATTATGCTAATTATTATAATTATCTATTATATGCTATTATATGTTATTATAAATAAATGTTCATTAATAATTACCATCAAACAGATAATTTATGCTAATTACTGGTATCAATAATAATAATAGTGTCAGTATACTATGTTGTGACAATGTTAGACCGTAGGACATCAAATATTATAGGTTAAGATATGTCCAGAGGCGGGAAGAAAAAAAGTGGGAAAAAATCCAAGTTCTAAGACTTATTTCCCCTCTCCTTGTCCTATGCACACAACAAAAGTGTGACCACGTTTATGGCTTTGCTAGAAATCAGACAAGGTGACATGCAGTTAGTTACAACATTAACTAGGAGTGCATGCTCTCATTAAATACTTTCTCTTTCAAATTGTCACCTTGGCCTTCACAGTCATACCATGTACTATGGTGATGGTTGGTCTTATAGATGTTCCTCCAGGCAGCGTTGTAAACAGCAAGTTTGGCAGAAAGGCAGAAAGAAATGTGGTAATAGGCATGGGTAACAGGCACCCAATACCTGATGCCTTGAACTTTTCGACAGACAAGCAGGCACCATCACCGCCTCCTTCTCCAGCAATCTGTGTCAGAGATGCTGCTCAGACACTCCCATTGTTTGTTTCAGGTAAGTATTCTTCAGACTTTTTCCAATAAAAGACTCTTTCACTACTGATAATTACTTTGTCAGATGAGGGCATATGTCTGCCTTCAAGTTCCACTCTGTGTTTGAAGTGTAAATTACCCCTTATTTGAAAACCAGCACGTTTTCTGAAATGCACCACTCATAGAATTTCACAAATTTATCATTGGACAATATGCAAGATTAAAAATTACATCCCAACTAAAATAACCAATAGGAACCCACTGCTGCAAAGGAATGAAGACAAAAGCTGCTTGATAAGTGTGTAGGGTGAGATTAA